AGTGCAGCTTCGTTGATTTCTTTCTATAAGTCTGGAAAAATCTGTTTTTCTTTCCCCTAGTTTGCTCCTTAGTTGTTCTTGATGTTGGGTTTTCAGGGAATTTTAAGAAAGGAATAGAAAATGAATGAAAATATTGAAAATATTGAAAATATTAAAAAGTTTAGATTTTATAAACTTTAAAGCCCAATTTCTTTGAAATTTGAGAACTCGAGGGATCATATAAACATTAGTCCATTTTTCTGGTGTTGACCAACGGAGGTTAATATTTTCCCTTAAACAGGGGCCAATTTGATGCGTCTGCACAGTTTAGGGGCTTATATGATGTCCTTTTTGTTGGAGGGCTTACCCAGCAAATTCAAGGGCTTAACATTAATTTCAGCCTTGAATTGTATCAGTAAGAACCCTTTTGTCACTGAAGTTCATTGCATCAACAATGAAAGAGTTGGACATTTGGGAAAACTAGTCTCAGACTTTCAGCTGCCCTTCAGTATGGTGGATGGTTGCACTGGAAATGGGACATAACAGGGACATCCTGTTATGGTATGTCCACTATAATTACTCATTATGCTGGTAGAGTCTTATTTGTACATCTCTTTTCAGTGAATTGCCACTTATCAAGGATATCATATTGTGTGGCTTTTGGTTGTGGACTTCTGATTATGGGGTTGACCTGAAGTTTTGTTATCCTTGAACTTTCATTGCGTCTTTAATACCATGTTATTGAGATATGTTTTAAAATCTCCCCAATAATGATTGTCTTGGTAACAATCTAAAGAGTTCCAATTCTTAGGGTCCTTAATCTGTCTTCCACTATAAGTTACTGAGGTTTTCCAAGACACTTCATATCAGTGGAAGTTCCAAGTTTGAATGAGAAACTACTAACCAGTCCCAATTTTTCTTTTTTGATGAAAACTTATCAATTTTCCCAAAGTGATTTACTCATTTACCTTGAATTTACTTTTGATTCATACGCTTTTTTTATTCTTAATATTTTTAATGTCTTTTCTGGTGTAAATATTATAATGCTAAAACTGCTTAGACATACATGATTATTTCATTAAAGATCTTTTGAACTTTGAGGGTTTTGCGTTTTAATTGGTTTTTGAGCATTAAGCCTGGGTCTTCATTGTTTCAGGGCCAAACTGGAAGCCATTTTGAACCAAAGCCTGTCCTGCCTCCTCTGCCAAACAAGTGTGACTGGGAAATTGACCCTTCTGAGCTGGACTTCTCAAACTCAAGTATTATTGGAAAGGTGCGTTCAGTTTCTCAATATTGATAGCACGTATTATAGAAAAGGCTTTGCTTCTAAGTAGTTTTAAAGTTACACTGATTTTGATGTTGCTTGTTTCACTTTCATATGGAAAATCTGGCTTTGGACTTGGATTTTACATAGATCATTTCTACAGTCAGAAACATGATTATAGGTAATAGTGCTTATTAATGATTTAGCTCTTCAACAACATAGTATCTAAGTGGTAGAATTGTTAGATCACCTCTGTCTCCAGGAACCAGTGATATGGTAAACAAATAATTATTATAATTTAAGTGGCTGCAAATAATGCCCTTTACAACTACCATCTCTGTACCCAGGGAAGAAAACTTGCCAAAAGAGAAAAAAAAAAAAAAAAAAAAGGCACTCTATAACGTTCATATTCATTGGATGGTACTTTGAGCTAATGTAAAATTGAATTAGCTCTATGCTGATTGATGTGGGCCTTTAACATGTTAGTTCAATATGTTAGTTTGCAGCTTAAAGTCATTTATAAGATAAATATATTTAGTGGTCAGCATGAAAGATGTGCTTCCACTTATCATATGTGATCTTGCAGGGATCATTCGGTGAGATTTTAAAGGCTTATTGGCGAGGAACACCAGTAGCTGTCAAACGCATTCTTCCATCACTCTCAGATGACAGACTGGTGATGTAAGTCCATTATGCATATAGCTATATAATATTTCCAGATAATTAGCAAAAAATGAAAATAAAATAATTTTTCCTTACAGCTAGGTTATGTTATTTTCTTTACTAATAATTAAGCTGCCTTTTTTGCTCAACAATTTATGCCTTTCACTAGTTGCTTCCTGTAATACGTTGAGCTGTATTCTCGCAGACAATGTTGGGAAGCCAAAGGAAAAGACAAAAAGTTAACACATAAATTAACCCAAAGAACCATGGATCATTTTTCTTTAATGATTCATACTGCTGGATTTCTCAGTGTGGTTATGAGGTTTAATTTTAAAAGGCTGCTTCCACTTCCTAGATAATGATATTTGAAGGGAACTGCCAGTTTTCATTAAGAGCTTAATCTGACGATTATTGTGGCTATGTTCTTATTTTCTCTGTACCCCAGCTTTCTGTTGTATCAAAATGGAATTAGCTTACATCTGCTTTCATGATTCAGCCAGGATTTCCGGCATGAAGTAAATTTGCTTGTGAAGCTTCGACATCCTAATGTAGTCCAGTTTCTGGGTGCTGTCACTGAGAAGAAGCCACTAATGCTAATAACTGAGTATTTGAGAGGGGTATGGATGTATATCTGTTTCTATTCCCAATTGTTGGTTCTCTTTGCAGAAGTTCTTATTGGAAGTCTTATATCTTTAGCTTCTCTTGCTTAATTCTATCTGTTGCATGCTTTTACAGGGTGATCTTCATCAGCACCTCAAGGAAAAGAGTGCACTTAGTCCATCCACAGCCATTAACTTTGCATTAGACATTGCCAGGTTTCTGCTGAATTATTCATTATCCTTTTGCACAGTGTTGTAGAAAGCACTAGGCAGTGGTGAGGCATTTCCCCACTCCCTAGTGCTTAGGACACCCAGGCCTAGGCGTCTTTCATTTTTTTGGTTAAAAAAAAAAAAGAAGCAAAATGGACAAAAAAAAATTAGGTTAGGCATGCTGAGGCTTTATCCTAGACTTGCCTAGGCATTCTAGGCACTCACCTAAGCACACCTAGGCAAGCTCAACACCTGCTGCCTTGGTGTGGTTTGGTACTCTAGGCGGAGCCAAACACCTTGGTCTGCCTAATGGCTAGGCAAGGCAGTGGCCTGCTGCCTAGCTTAGGCCTGCTTCTTGTAACACTGTTTTTGCCATAAATAGTAAAAATTCAGCTATTTTAAGAAATTAGGTTAGTCCTCTCTCCATTAAATATATGAATTATGGGTGATGCCTATATCTATATATATGATTCATTCCCAGAAAGACAATGGTGGGAAATGAGGAAAAACCAGTAGCAGATATCCTTCCTCGTAAATTTTAGTCCTAAAAATGGTCTGGAAAAGTGTATAGGCCTTGATTATGGGTGGTTGTTAGATATGGACCTTGATCCAGAGGAATGGAGAAAAAGGATTAATCTATCTACCCTAACTAGTTTGGTAAAATCCAGTTCAGTTTGCGATGGAATTGAGCTTTATTTATTTTTGAATTTTGATGTAGAGCTACACTGCATATTGCATGGGCTATAAGGCTTCATTTATTGTGCTTGCATGTACCATATTGATTTTGGAGAAATAGGATACAAGTTGAATTTGGACGGACACCCTAATCTCTTTTTTGTGTCAACAGGGGCATGGCTTATCTTCACAATGAACCAAATGTCATAATTCACCGAGATCTAAAACCCAGGCAAGTAAATTTCCCATCACATTCTGATATTTAATTGACCCTATCTTCTGTCGACTCATAGATACCAGTTGTGTTGTGCTTTACACTGCTCAGTACATCAGTTCTTATAATAGGAAAATTACCTTTGGAACTTTAAATTCTAAATGAACTCTGGACTATTGCCCAAGAGAAAATGTCTTCTCTACCATTTCTCTTGAGATTTCTTTTGTTTTCCATTTTTTATTCAGCATTTGAGAACTTGGAACTGCATTGACTTTTCCCTATCCATTTTTTTTTCCTATTTAGGAATGTACTTTTGGTGAACTCTAGTGCAGACCATTTGAAAGTTGGAGACTTTGGACTAAGCAAGCTTATCAAGGTTCAGAATTCTCATGATGTCTACAAACTGACTGGAGAGACTGGGAGTTGTCAGTGCTTTTTTGGTTTCTTTTGAATGAATTAACACCATCATACTTGCACATCAGTGTTTTTCTTACTAAATCACGTAATTGATTCTCTGAAATGGATAACATCTTCATATCTTCACTTGCTTTTCTTTGAATGAAAACAACAGACCGTTATATGGCTCCTGAAGTTTTCAAGCACAGGAGATATGATAAGAAAGTTGATGTTTTCTCTTTTGCAATGATCCTTTATGAGGTAATTTTTTTTCTCACCATGCTATTGATTGTGGAGGAATTGAAACTAGGCGCTAATGCATAATGGTCCTAATTGGAGCACAGATGCTTGAAGGAGAACCTCCATTCTCTAGTTATGAGCCTTATGAAGCAGCTAAGTATGTGGCAGATGGACACAGGCCAATTTTCCGTACAAAATCATGCCTCCCTGAACTAAGAGAGTAAGCCATCATTCTTTTCTTTCACTCTAATAGAAAGTTGCTGTGTTTTTGCTAACCATCTACGTTTTCCATTCATAAATCATTTCAAACTCTTAGTCGGCTACCTATCTCTTCAGTAGCATAAACAGTTGCTTTACTTCAAAGATGCTTGTTATAGGCAATAATTTGTTGCCGGATGCCCATCCTTCAATTAAACTAGCTTTTGTTCATTGGCACCCACTTTGTTGGTGTAGAGAGAAAAAGAGAAACGGGAGAAGTGAGTCTGTGAGACAGTAGGAAATATGTTCTTTTGAAGGGTAAATTGCCTCATCAGTCATTCAGTTGTACCTGTTTGGTACTCTAAATATTTCGTTAATATTGATAAAGTCCAAAGGTTAGCAATTTGTTAGCATTTTTACAAAAGAATCATGTAAAATCGACAAATAAGTTGCAAGAAAATTTAAGCAAATGCACTGCACACTCCAGTCTTCCGTTAAAATTGATCAACCTTTGAAATTAATAGGAAGTTTCAATTGAAGCTCTACCTTGAAAATATCATGGAGAGAGAGTAGAAAATAGAGGGACAAGGGAAAATGAAGGCATGGAAAATGCTTTAAAATAAAACAGGGCAAGGAATTTAGATGTCAGTACTTGATTAATTCAATTGGGCTAAACTGCCATGAACTTAAATCCAAGGACTGAAATGTTGCCCTGTAAACTTTGAGGATTGAGTACCTAATTTGACGAGAGATAAATTGCTAAGGTGCTATTGTGTAGATATAGTTTTTCATTATTTTGTTTGACCTTTGTACACTTGAGATGGCCAGGTAATCTTGCCAACTTGGTGACTGTGAGACCTGTTCAGTTTTTTGTTTTATATTTACATGGATGAGGATATCAAGTCCTAGTATTTTGATCATGCCTTGCTGCTATTAAGTTAAAAGTAGGCCTGAGAAATAGAATTTTAAACTGAATTTTCCTAAGCAAAATATAATCCATCATGGTTGAATGTTGAGGCATCTGAATTAGCATTGGCTTCTCCTTTAGAGCATGTACAATAGAGATTAATAAAAGGGCTCATCTTAGTATTACATCATCACAATTAATATTTCTTTATATGAGTTTACTTTTTTTATATTTAACCCTCAAACAAAACACCTAAAAGAATGCCACCCCTTTAATACATACACTTTAATAAGGCTTCTTCAAAGTATACACCAAATATTGTTTTATTCAACCCAAATAAAAATGAAAATCTTTAATTTTAATATTACTAAAGCCGTTGGATCAATGAAGATGGCTGCAATTACTTTTTACCCCTAAAAGGGGCAAAAAAATTAAAGAGAAGTGGTTCTCCACAAAGAGACCTGGCTCTCTTTTAGAACAGTGTACAATGCACAAAAGTTCTATCTTTATTCTCTTTTTGAAGAGAACAATGGGAGTAGGAGCTAAAAAATTTTCATGCTTTAAGTGGACTCCTGCTAATTATTGATATTTGAAAAATGTTTAACTTGTTTTGGCTAATCACAATCATTTTTTTTTCCCCATTATAGTGTTTATAGATGTAGTTCCACATTCTTTTGGAACTATAGTAACCTTATCCTT